AACGAAACAGACAATGGATGACTTATGCAGAAATTACAGCAAACTCACAGACCTCGGAGAATGCCAACCAACGGATGCTTCAGCAAAAGGAAAGGACAAATAAAGTCGGTGATAACGAAAGTCACGACATTTGTTTGAGTAGGGCTAAAATAATGACCCGTGCGCAGGAGTTGAAAGGAGCATTAGATGAATTACTTAGACTGGTTGGAAGCGGGCCTGAAATGGAGCCCATGAAATTGGTACGCTGTCACAAGTGTGGGGTTGAGTTGGATGAGGATCAAACCGGTGAAATACACGTATCGGGATTGACTCATGAGGAACTACCATCAATTACAGAACATGCAAAGCAGGGAGGAGATGAACATTGTGATTCTCAAGTGAGGATGGAAGCGGGATACCATGAAAACGATGACGAGGTTGACTTTGTGGGGGTCAACCGAACTGAAGTAGACACAGGGACTGCAGTTGAACGAGAAGAGGAACCGCTGTCTAAGGAAGGGGAGTTTAGTATGGTGAACTTGGAGAAATTGTCAATGGACACTGTGAAAGAAAACAACTATACACAGGCGACATCAAGGATTACGAACACTTATAATAGGAGGACAAAAGATAACGATATGGGAACCGAAAAAGCCTTGGTGTTATGGGTAGGTGGTGCCAAGAAAAGAGAAAGTGACAGTGACATTATACCAGTGGTGGGAGAGAAAGAACGGTCCTTTGATCATCTCGAGGGCTATCAGGGTAAGGATACTTCAGGAACTGATGTGTTAGAAGTTGATCACCCACCTTCAAACTGGGTTCTACAAAAAATTCAGGAATTCAGTAAGTTGGTTGGCGTGTCATGTGATGGGTATGAAAGTAGATTGTTACAATTATTCGAGGAGCTGGAGGCTAATAGGGGACAAGACATTAGTACACATGGAAGTAGATTAAGAAGAAAGGGTGATCGTGAACTTAAGAGGCTCGAATGGTCAGTAAACTATGCTGGTAAGGGTGGAGAGTCCAAGAAATGAACAATGGGGAGGGGTTATGGAGTGTTACAATGATGCCAAAACTCATTAGTTGGAACGTAAGGGGTCTCAATGAGGTTAGTAAAAGGCTTGGTATTCATCATTTGCTAAGGGGATGGGGGGGCAAATCTTGTTTGCCTACAAGAAACTAAGATGGAGTTTATCTCGAGGGCGGTGATTCGTAGTTTAGGGGGGGGGGGAGATCATGTTGGATATCAGTTTTTGGGGTCATCAGAGGTTTCAAGAGGCGTGTTGGTGATGTGGGACACTAGAGTGCTTGAGATGAAGGGGGTGAGTGTAGGGGTGTTCTCTATATCGATTTCTTTCAAAAATTGTGAGGATGGATTTCGGTGGATGTTCACAGGAGTTTATGGGCCTAATTCTAATGACAGTAGAGTGGGTTTGTGGGATGAACTTGCTGGAATGAGGGCTTGGTGGAATCTCCCTACATGTATTGGGGGTGATTTCAATGTGATTCGATTTCCTTCGGAGAGGTCGAGTGGTGGGAGACTAACTAGGGCAATGGAGGAGTTCTCAAATTTTATTAGGGAGAATTTGTTGGTGGATTTACCCATGATTGGGGGAGATTTTACCTGGTCATCCAATCGGGATCGACCCGTTTTGTCTCGTATTGATAGATTTTTGATTTGTGGGGAGTGGGAGTCTAAATATTCAGATGTCACTCAGAGAAGATTGGGGAGGGTATACTCGGATCATTTTCCTATTATGTTATCGGGGAATAGAAGGGGTAGTGGAAGAAGACCTTTCAAATTTGAGAAGATGTGGTTGAAAGTAGAAGGTTTCAGGGAGCGAGTACAGACGTGGTGGACTTCCTATGAAGTCAGTGGGTCTCCCTATTTTGTATTGGATCAGACGCTAAAAGCGTTGAAAGGGGACTTAAAGAAATGGAATGAGGAAGTTATAGACAATGTTAACTGCAGTAAAAATCAGTGTCTGTCAGAGATAGAGGAATTGGATAGGCGGGAGGAGAGTCAGGGGTTGACTGGGGAGGAGAAGGAGAGACATAAAGTATTAAAGGAAGAGATGGAGAGGTTGGTGAAGATGGAGGAGATTAATTGGGGACAGAAATCTAAAGTTACTTGGTTAAAAGAGGGGGATAAATGCACTAAATTCTTCCACAGGGTCGCCAATTCTAATAGGAGGAACAACTCCATCACAGTTTTGGAGGTGGACGGGGTTACTTATGAGGAACCACAGGAAATTGGAAGCCAACCGGTGAATTTTTATCAGAACCTCTATCGGGAGCAATTTGAATGGAGGCCAAAATTGGAGAGATTGCACTTTTCTACAATCACTCAGGATGATGCTCGATGGATGGAGAGACCATTTGGGGAGGATGAAATTAAGGAGGTTGTTTTCAGCATGAACGATGATAAGGCCCCGGGACCGGACGGTTTCTCGTTCTCATTCTACAAAGCATGCTGGGATGTGGATTGACTGGACATTGTGAATACTTTATCTTTTTTTTTTAACGTGGTAGATTCCAGAGAAGTTCTAACGCCACATTTATTGTGCTTATCCCTAAGAAACCGGGAGCGACTGATATTAAGGACTTTCGCCCCATTAGCCTTGTCAGCGGGGTGTATAAGATTATTTCGAAAGTCCTGGCAAACAGATTAAAGGAGGTGCTGGGAAAAATAGTGTCCAAGTTTCAGAATGCATTTGTTAAAGGGCGTTAGATTTTGGACTCTGTGCTCATAACGAATGAATGTATAGATTCAAGAATGCGCCTAAGGGCTCCAAGGATGCTTTGTAAGCTAGATATTCAGAAGGCTTACGACCATGTGAATTGGGGTTTCTTGTTGTATATGCTCAGGCGCTGTGGCTTTGGGGATAAATGGTGTAAATGGATTCAATTCTGTATTTCTACTGTTTTATTCTCAGTTTTGGTCAACGGAACACCAGAGGGTTATTTCCGGAGCAGTAGAGGCTTAAGACAAGGGGATCCATTGTCCCCATTGTTATTTGTCATTGTGATGGAAGCTCTCAGTAGGATGATTGAAAGAGCAGTGAGAGCGGGTTTGATAAGGGGTTTTATGGTTGATCAATTGCAGGTGTCTCATCTGTTATTTGCAGATGACACGTTGATCTTATGCGATGCAGATGTTGAACAATTCAGGAACTTGCGCCGTCTACTCTTATGTTTTGAAGCGGTGTCTGGTTTGAAAATCAATTTGGAGAAGTCTGAGGCTATTCCAGTTGGGGAGGTCAATAATGTCGAGGAGCTAGCTGATATATTGGGTTGTAAGGTTGCGCAGTTGCCGATATCATATCTAGGACTCCCTTTAGGAGCACGATTTAAAAATACCCATATCTGAAATGATATTGTGGAAAGGATGGAGAGAAAGTTAGCAGGGTGGAAGCGTATGTACCTTTCTAAGGAAGGTAGACTTACTCTCATTAAATACACTCTCTCCAATCTCCCTACTTACTTTTTGTCATTGTTCCCCATTCCGTTTGCAGTGGCAAAGAGATTAGAGAGGCTTTAAAGAGAATTTCTGTGGGCAGGGTTGGGAGAGGAGAGGAGACTCCATTTGGTCAATTGGGGAGTTGTTTGTTTGCCGATGAGGATGGGGGGTCTTGGGGTAAGGAGCCTTGTGTTGTTCAATAAAGCCTTATTAGGCAAGTGGTTGTGGCGATTTGGAGTGGAGAGGAACAGCTTCTGGAGAGAAATAATTGGGGCGAAGTATAGTGTGACCGATGGGGGATGGTGTACATTTGAGGATCGTGGTTCTTATGGGGTGAGCTTGTGGAGGTATATCCGACGGGGATGGAGTGCTTTTTCGGATAAACTGAAGTTTGTGGTTGGAAATGGTAATGCGATTAAATTTTGGGATGATTGTTGGTGCGGAGATCAACCGCTGAAGGAGAGATTCCCTTCTTTGCATCGCATTGCCTCAGTGTCCACTGCTATGGTGAGTGATCTCTTAGACATTCATAATGGGAGCTATAGCTGGAATATTACTTTTGGGAGGGATCTTCAAGATTGGGAATTGGAAGATTATTCGCTTTTATGACCATTTTACATGAGGCCCAAATTCGGGTTGGAGAGAGGGATTGCATCAGGTAGAGGACAGCACAGGATGGCATTTTTTCGGTTCGCTCGTACTTTGGTTCCCTCATGGGATGTGTGAATAATTCATTCCCCTGGAAGTTGATATGGCAGTGTAAATTGCCTCCTCGGGTGACATTCTTATTGTGGACAGTTGTGAGGGGACAGGTCTCAACGGTGGATAATCTTCGTCGTAAAGACTTTTATGCAACCGAGTGGTGTTATATGTGCAAGAAGGATGGGGAGACGATCGATCATTTGTTCATTCATTGTGATTGTGTACGTTGGATTTGGAACAGTATACTCAGTTCACAATCTATGGATTGGGTGATGTTTCGTCGTATAGAGGACGTGTTACGGGCATGGCGTAGAAAACTTCGGGATAAGGATAGCAAACTAGCATGACACCTTATCCCGAGCTGCATTGTTTGGTGCGTGTGGAGAAAAAGGAACAACCGTTGCTTCGAAGGCCAAACAAAGACAAGAGAGCAGATAAAAAAAATATTTTCCTTTACCTTGTATTCTTGGTTTAATGCTATGGCTAGAAATCCTGTAGATGGATTGCCTAATTTCATGTTTTTCCTTAATGGCTTAAAGTGATTGTACACCCCCCGTGTATTCTCTTTTTAGTAATAAAATTATTTGATTACCTATCAAAAAAAAAAAATTTCTCTATTTATGGGTCAATTGAATTTAATAGGTAAAACCGTGTCTGAGCTTTTAAAAAAACAAAAGGACTTGTTTGGTAAGTTAAAAAATAGGAATTTTCCCTTCTAAGGTTTAGAACCCCTCTTGTGCGGCTGATACCACCTCTCCTGCACTGGCAAAGGTAATTATTCAATTTTAATTTTTTCTAGAATTAATTCTAAAAGCTCAAGGAATGACATACCACAGAGAAGGTAAGATTTTCTTAAGCAATTGATACTAGAATGTTAAGAGATTAAATAGTGCAGGCAAAAAGGATCATGAAAATAAACATTGTTATGCAAAACCTTACCATAGCTATCAGAATCCTTTATCATGAACCCAAATAAATGATCAGTGGTAGCCAGATTTATATCACTGAAATAAAATTCCACCTGCAAACCATAAAGGTATCTAAATTAGCATGTTCTCAAAAATGGAAAGCAATATAGCATTTTCTAATGTTGTAAAAGACTACACCAAATTACATAAGGACAAGTATTAAGCAAATGCAAAATTAATATAGGTACAAATATAAAGAAATTGATTTTCTTTATTAGACTGAAATGGTAAGTGCTACAAACCAGCTAAATGCAAAGTCAACAACAGTAGGTGGATCTTTATTATGTTGCATTGAAACCAAAAAAATTGTTTTCATGGCAGGAAATTGCTATATGTGTAGTATTCTATTGCAGCTAGATAAAATAGCTCTCTACAGCAAAAGATTCAGAAACTCTTTCCTACTAATCCTTTCTCCATCATGTTTTTGATGGCAGAATAACATTGATTCCAGAGAAATAACTCTGTCATAACTTAAGAAGCACTTGATATTACAATAGGCGGAAATATGTCCTAAGCTTCTTTCTTGTAATGAAGTTATGGCAGGGTTTGAAACTTTAGTTATTCATGTAATCTCAGAAAATTGACATATACACTGAAATAAACCGTACATATGCCAATTTGTATAATGACCATAATCAGATCTGTGGCCAAAACTGATTTAAGTCACATCAGACAAAACAAATTACTGCACATAGTTATCACAAATATCCATCATTTATTCATTTGTATAGATAAATTAAAACCAAATTACCATAATCGAGATATACCATATTTTCCACTATCGAATCGTAGCAAACCCAAATTAAAAAATAATTATCATTCAAAATCATAACAGTCGATCAACATATTAGAAATGCAATATTTAAACGTAATCCACAATGCTTCATCGGCAAATGATCCAAAATTAAGCAATAATAAACACTAAACGTGTCACTGAGTTACTGGTGAATTCTCTCTCCTCTTCAAGGATGCAGTAACTAGATATGAGTACAAGAACACGGAAGCCCTAATGGTGAATTATCTCTCCTGCTCCAAGTAAAAAATCCAACGTTTCACAATTACAAAGCTTAAAATAAAACAATCAATAAAGAATCAAAGATACGCAAATAATCAAAACTTGAAGTCATATATAATATATTTATCTCCCACCCACAGAAATCAACTATATAAACTTTTAAAAGCACAATAAACAGAGTAACTAGTTAAAAACGCAATACACATATACACCAGATAAAAAATTGCCTGACTGAGAATTTTCTGATGAGCATCTGGCATTCCGTTTTTTAAAGAAACGGTAGCGCCGGCAGTATTAACATCCGCCATTTCTGGAGATGCTGCAGGGGTTTGGATCCCGTTAACCAATTCCTTGGATGGATGTAAGTACCCATAAAACGGCATTCCCCCATGTTGATAATAGTTCTGTACCGCCACTTGGCCACCAAACCCATAGTAGGGCCTCATCGGCGACACGAATGGAGGCCTCGTATGAACCGGCTGCACCACCGGCGTGGAAGGCGGCGGAGACAGCGACTGTGAATGCGAGGGTACAGAAGCCGAACGTGGGACAAACTCAGGCGCCTTAGCGTTGAGCTTACTGCTAATAGAGGCAAGGCTGAGTTGATTATTCTCCGATGATCCTAGCGTTTCGTAATCTTGTTGATCCATTAATCAATACTGATCGATCTGGTTACAATCTGGTAATATACGTCCTACAATTAACTGGCTAATCTTGATTGGAGTAAAACATACGGATCAAAATAGAACTAC